AGAATCTAGGTTTACAACAATAGTAGCTTAGCAATTGCTAGGCGTTTATACCTTAGCTAAGGTATAGCAGCAAGGAATTATATTCTTAGTTAGCTATACTAGTAAGGTTAATAAAAGATAAGGCTTCTTTGTTAACCCTGCTAGTTTTCCTAGTTAAAATAGGTTGCCTCTTAGTTATTAAGCTCTTAAAGACTATCTTTTAGTTCTACTTAAAGCTTCTTAACCTATACATAAGTTTTAAGCTTAAAACACTCTTAAAAGGTATACCTACTCTTACTACAATTCTAGCACTTCAATATAACGTTAATATTATCTAAACTACTAAAGTTAGCAGGTTAAGAAGTAAACTAACCTTAGCTAGCAACCGGTTATAGGCTTAGGTTACTCCCTATAAAACCGCGGTTCCTTATCTTATTATTATTATAGCGCTGTTTCTTTATTAGCCTACTAGCTAGTACGCTATTAACCGTAACCGCCTACTTCTAGTTATCTTATCTCTTCTTCTATTCCTAGCCTTAAGACTAATACTCCTTATAAGCATTAGCAATCTTTATTACTATACTAAAAGACTTGCTAATAGTCTTATTCTAATACTACTTTACTAAGTAGTCGTTAAGCCTTTACTAATACCTTTAAGCAATCTTGCTTGCCTAGTTAAAAGGTGTTGCTAATCTTTTATTTATAAGTAGTTTTATTTTTGCTAGTACGCTATTAGCAACTTACTACCTTGCTAAAGCGTCTAGCTTTCCTTATAAATATAGTATATTTAGAATTTTAAGGTTTTAAGTGTTCTTAATAGATAAACGCAATAAAGTGCGTTTATATAAGGCGTATAACTAGGGGTTTACTAGCGTAAAGTCAGTTGCAGTGCTTTTACTAATTAGCCGCTAGTATAGTAGTTAGCTAACTACCTGCTTAAATAATCTTTATATCTTTTAACGCGTTGCTACGTACATTAGTATTATAAGCGTCCTCTATTATTGCTAACTACTCTTTTGTCTTTATAGCAAAGGCACTAATTTTCTAGCCTTTTAATGCTATATTATAATAGCTTATCGTTACGGTAGCAACTACTAAGCGGTAGCCTTATAACCCTTACAGCTATAATGTTAGTTTAATGCCTCTAGCGTCTGCATAATACGAGTGTATTTATCGCTTTATAGATGCTTTATAGCCGGCGAGGTGTTGTTAAGCGGCACGTATACTAGTCTCGTTTCCAACTTAACGGACAGGGTTAAGGTGCCTATAAATGCTACGCGCAAGGTGTGGCTGCCGTGCATTGGCGTAGGGAGTAGCATCGGCACGTCCTTAGCTTTTAACAGTTCGCGTGCTAATCGCGGAGTGGCCGCCCTATAATCGGACATTGCTCCTTATAGAATAGAAGTTAAAGAATGTAAGGGGGTGGTGTGCAATGCGTGGTCACGAAGGCTTAACCGGTTTGTACTGTTGTATTAAGACTTTAACTTAACGAACTATAGAAGACTAGTAGGCGAAGGCCTGCTAGCTAATATATACGTGGCTAGAAGATGCGGTGTAGCGCAAACCTAGTGGGGCGTGGCATAGCTAAGTGGCTGTGCTAGTCCCGTGCAACGTGTCAAGATAGTTCGTTAAGTCCGTCGCTTGGTAAGCGACTAGTTGCCGAACCGGTGCGTAGGGACGCGTGTGTGGAATACCCTTACAAAATAGGCCTCTAAGCTAACATCCAGATGTTCGTAGACAACACCTCCGCGATTAGCATTACAAAGAAGCCTAAATTTAAAGAGCGTTCAAAGCACTTTAACGTTAAGTAGCACTACTTTTGTAAAAGCGTACTAGGCAGCTTGTTAACGGTACGGTACGTAAAGTCTAAGGATTAGATCGCTAATATCATAACAAAGGCGCTGCCTAAGGCAGCGTTCAAGAGGCTATTGCCTCGCTTAATGGGCTGGCAGCCGTGAAAGGGCTGCCGAGGATGATTTCAGTGCATCGCGGTGCGCCTGCGTAGCGTATTCAGGGGGAGTGTCAAGCATTAGAATCCGCCACACTGTAGCCCTTCCGCCCCATTTGGCCGTACTAGCCTGTGATTGGTCAGAAGGCACAAAAGCAGGGCCTGTCACTAGTATTAATACGGATCCCTAGAAGGGTTGCGATGTATCTATTTCTTCCTTAGTACACAACACTCTTTCGCCCACACTAGACCCTATTTAACCTCCTCACAGTGCATCACGTTATATGACCGCTACGTATAGCCTCCTTTAACCTTGACAGATATATATCTTACAAAGTACGGAGTATTGTAATTAAATTTACAGTTTATATTGCACGCGCCGACTAGGGCTGTTGTATATACGTAGTAAATGGTTTTATCTACGTCGTACTCCTTACTCTGTACCAAGGGTGGATCCGGTAGCCTGATTGGTTAGCATCCACAGTTGCGAACGACTACGAAGTACGAAGTACACAGTACTCGTAAAAGGGGCATGCATACTTAGTAAGATATGGAGTACTTCGTATTTGTGGAGTACTCCGCATTTATTTGATCGGCCACCGTATCGAATCTATCCCATCAGGGGCATCTTTGTTACATAGTAAGTCTAGGTGGCCTTTAAAAATACTCAATTTTACGAGGAAAGTTTGAATGGGCAACAGGCCTTGGCAAGACAACTATCGAGAAAAATGGACAACGCTTGGACACGTTCAGAAAGGGATTTTTCTGTAGGTATCACGAACACCACCATTTCGCCCAGAATCGACAGTCTTTACTCTTATGATACTACACTCGTGTCTGGAATTTTAAAGACCAAAAGAAAGGCACGAAGCATAAAGGCCTGCTTCCCGTGTCGATCCCGGAAAGTCCGCTGCGATGGCCGAGTGCCCTGCACAAAATGCATACAGCGTGATCATGCCTCGCTGTGCCGTGCACCGGTGCAGGGGCCAATTGACGACCACCATTTGCTGAGCACAGCTGGCGAGCCTCGAAGCGACTACGGACCCTTGCTTTTTACAGACCAGTCAGCGTCCTTGCGAGGACCTAGCCCGGTCTTTGTGCCTACTACTTCGATGAACTTGCCTTCAGAGACTGCCCAGTCACGAACGCACAGTCTGCAGCTAATGGTTGCCCGTATGGGAACACTTGAAAAAGAACTTTCTCTTCTGAGGGTTGGCCTAGCCGGGTTGATTAACGCAGAGGAGATGTCATCGACACCTACAGATGTTTCGGCGTCAGTGGATACGAGTTGGCCACCTGGCGGAGTACAACGTACTACGCCGTTGGACATGATTCCGGGAAAATTTTGTGTTGATACTGTTACCGGGACAACCGTGTTCTTGGGGAAGCGTTCTGACCACCCCTCGGTCTTAGGATGCTTCCAGCCCTCGGATAGCTACTCAGCGAACCACTTGCTTCCAGATTACCTATTGCCGAAGACGTACGCATTCGAAAATCTCTGGGCCGAGATTTCTCTACCCAGAGTCTGTGAAAGTCTCCCCAGAAATTCAGACGTTATCCGGTAGGGCGCTAGATGCCTTTCATTTTTACGCCATTTTTGCTAAGTTGCGAGAACAGGTATTGGGAGGCGTATAAATCCCTGGTTCACCCCTTTTACCCAGCGCTTGTCACGGCGGAGAGCTTTGGTAGCACCATCGTGCCGTTCTTGGATGGCCGGTCGAACGCCGACGGTCACGTATTGGAGCTTCTATACACCAAGACTGATGCGTCTTGGCTGGCATTGTTGTTCGCAATTTTGGCATGCGGCGTACAGTTTTCCGACGATTTGGCGAAAGATAGAGAGCTCCGTTCGAAGGTTTTCGGTAAGACGCAGTGCACTTTCGGTACCGACCTCAACTGATTTCTCTTACGTTATGCCTAGTTTGCTCTGCATTTCAGTGTCTCAGAGCATCGAATATGCTTTGCTACGTATCTGCGGACCAAGTACAAGCCATGGCCCTTATCGGCCTTTGTCTACGCAACAATTTAGACATGAATGGTGCTTGGGTTATCATGGGTATGCACGCTTCGTCTTGACATCTTGGCAAGCCACAACTGCTTACAATCATTCCTTAAGGGTCTACCATTCGGCTCGCCCAGAGCATTGGTCTGCATGAGGCGTCCGATCCCTCAAGGATGCAGATGCCAATCTCTCCATGGGTGATTGACCTAGCACCCCATCACATCCGGCTTCGCTTGTGGTGGATCCTGGTTTGGCAGGACACGTTTCTGTCTATGACTTACGACCGGCCACCAGGCTGCCTTTTTGCAGCGAGATGTGCCTTGCCCCAGTTTCCGAGAGCTGGAGGCGTCGGAAAGGCGTTTGCTGATTTTGTCTCCCAGGCATGCCAGGTTTTCCTAGACCGAATCGTGCATGAAAACTATATTGCACCACAGTCAACAAACTACAATAGCTACAAAGTCTTCCTCCAGTATAAGAACCGATTCACGCTTATACTAGAAGAAGCGAATTCCCTTGTTGCCGACGAGGAGTGTTTCGTCACATTACAAAGAAAACTAGAGCACCTCACGCTACAGATACACGTCGGCTATTGTATATGCCGCCTCTACAATGAACTGTTGGAGGAATGTCCCCCGATGGAGAGTTCCTCCATGCATGAGTCACTGCATAGCGAGTATATCTCAGAGGTCGTCAAAACAACGGAATCATTTTTACAGCTCATTCGGCTGTCGCCATTGGTCTGCCGCTCATGGCCGTTAGTACACAATGCTGTCAGCCCGTTAATTTCGGCCAAGAGCCTGCTCGGTAGCATTGGTACGCCTGAAGTGTCACAGGGTCGGTGTTTGTTGCAACTCGAACCTCTGGTTCACCGCCTAATAGAAGTCCTTGAGAACGAGGAAGAAAAGTCACGCTGGATTGATGAGGACAGCAACGTGAGAGTCATAGGTCCATATACACGGATACTACGAGCACTAAAGGACACAGACAAAAACGACCTATAGCTACCTGTTATATTGAAATTATGGTTCTGTCTCGATATATCTTATCTCAATCTGTGCGCGACCACATGCATCACTTTCTGGACTTGGCCGGCCAGACCGTCCTTTTGCGAGCAGTGACGTATAGGTTCAGTGGTCGGATTAGCTGGAACTCGGGATCGTAGTCAATGGCTTCGTTGCCATAGCGGACAAACTCGTATCGATATACTAGCTCGGAGATGAGTACCTTCGCCTCTAGCAGTGCGAAGTTAAACCCAATGCAACCACGAGGTCCGGCTGCAAAGGGGATGTATGCGTAACGGTGAAGAGTTTTTATCTCATCGCTGTCCCACCTGTCCGCATCGAAGAGCAAGGGGTCTCGCCATACCGTTGGATTAGTATGGATCGCATGTACAGCAGGTATAAGCACACTTCCAGCACCAATACGATAGCCCCCGGGCAGTATCACATCTGTCTTTGTCGTGCGGCCTGGCTGATAGGACGGACTGTGCAGCCTCTGTCCTTCCTTGATAAAGTTGTGGAGATAGGGCATGCCGTTTGCCTTGTCGGGTGTCCAATTCAATTTTCCGTCGACATCGTGGTCCACCAGTTCTTGAAGGAGGCGATCTTGCGCCCCGGGGTAGGCCACAAGACAGTAGATAAGCCAAGACAGCAAAGAGCCGGTAGTTGAAAATCCGGCCCCTGTGACGACCATCATATTGGCTAAAACAAGGCCTTCGGGAAAGTGTTTGCCCTCTTCGTCGACTGCGTTTACTAGGTAGTCACCAACACAGGATGCTTTAATGGCTGCCTCCTCCATTGGCATATTTCTCAAGCCCGAACTGGAAGAGCCAGAGATAGCTTCCTGTAAGTACCCGTAGGTTTCCTTCTGCACACGCCTGAGCTCAGCTGGGATACCGAATGGAAGGTGGCGGTACCACTCGCCCCGGGAAGTAACTTTTTTGTTTAGACCCAATAGGGCGCCAAAACTCATGATGAGTGGGTGTAGCTTTGCATCGACGCTGGTGAAATGACCAAAATCCATGCCAAGGGCAAACTTTCCAATGGTTTGCGATGCCAGCTTGACCATAAACGGGTACACGTTCCATTCTTTGCCGCACTCGGCAAGCTCGTCAAAAACAGTGAACGAGTTCCGCACAGACTCTTGCATCAGAGGCGTATAGTGGCGCACGGCTTTGGGTCCCATCGCTGTTGGGAGAAATTTGTGTCCGATGCGCCAATTCTCGGTCTCTGTGTCTCCGACAAACATGGCCGTGTTGTCTTTAATTCCCCAAAGAGGGTGATTTTCGTTGATCTTCTTGGTGAAGTAGACAGACTCCATCATGGCCACATGTGTAACATCTGGGCTATTGGTGAGGTATGTCGTTTTCCCCATGTTTGTTGTCCGTATGACATGACCATATTTTTGAAAGAGTCGAAAGTGGTTCCCTAGGTGATCCGGATAGATCTCGTGGAAGTTTCCTACAAATGGTAGCTCTGTTGGACCCTGGGGGTCTTGCACAGCCCTGCCATCGATACGGACTGAAACAGGTGCCTTGGCAGCGATAATATCCGAGGCATTTTCTAGCTGTCCATGCTGCTCTGGCGAGGTGTGAAAGGTGATTCCTACGTAAGAATCCGTCAGCATTCTATCGACAGAGATCATTACTTGCAGGCGTTACGACCCCAAAGCTTTTGATTCGAGGAAAGTCGTAGGAATTTTGGGTGGGGACGACTTACCCTCCGGTTTGGCGACGTGAAATGTCAACCCGACTGCTCTCTTAATATCATCAAGCGTGTAGCTTTTATCAATATTGACGTATTGTCCAGCGAGTGTGTCCCCAACAAGCTTGAAAAGTTGAGCGCTTGACGTCTGTGCCATTTCGAGGGGAAGAGGGAAGAACCTCTTATCGTAACTTTTTTTGTGCTGGTGTACCTCTTGCAGAGCTCCTGACTATGACTATGACACAAATCTGTAGAGCGGAAACTTTGTCATGGCATAACGGTCCTACATGCTTTTATATACAAAGGATGACTATGGGGACAGATAGATCACCGCGGTTTTCGCCCTTTTTGTGGACGCCGGGCCTCGTCCTGCAGAAAGACCGCGCCGAGCATCTTTTCTCTGACCTCACTTGCTAAGTGCTGACGTGTGGTGTATTCTTGGCCTGAGCTTTATTGCAACCCTCCTCATAGGATACGGGATATAGAGTACGGAGACGGACTTGAATCATAGGGCGTACGTAAACCCGAAATTCGTGCGAAATTCGCACGGAAGGTGTGAATTAGAAGGTTCCACTTTACGCGCAACGTCGGACGGTGGTATTCCGTACAACAGCGAAGCTCCACTGATGACCAATACACGTTGTATACTGGAAACGGATCAAGTCAACAATATAAAGCTTACAATCTCGCCTCAATCATGTCGGGTATGCGAAAAACACAGGGGATAAATTCAAGGAAGCCGCTGACATTCTTGGGAGTTTTTTCTCGTCTGATTCAAAGCCGTCATCTTTACTTTGCCACCCTGCTACCAATTATGTCCAAGATTTACCGGCTCGAAGAGGTGCAGACGCACAAGACTACAGAAGACTTGTGGCTAGTCATTCATAACAGAGGCGAGTGAAACTTATATTATCACGACTACTAAGCAAGATATCAGTTTTTGCGATGTCGACAGCTTCTGTCTAATTGTCTAACTATGACTTTAGTTTACAATGCTAGCCACTACCTTGATAGTCATCCCGGTGGTGGGGCGATCTTGCTCGACGTTGCGGGTTCCGACGCGACGGCAGAATATGAGGAAGCAGGACATTCTACTGAAGCAGAGACTGCTTTAAAGGAGTTGTATATCGGAGACTTGCATGCAGAGGTCTCTCATTCCCCCTTTACCCAAGTGTTACTAGCGGTACGAGACGAAGAGCGCTCTGGGACTAGTCTTACTAATGCGGTTGTACCGTTAGCAAAGAAAGACGGCTGTAGACGTCTATCGACCGAATTTCGAATTAGTCTCACAAACAACAAACGTCATCAATGTGGACAAGGCGAGGAAGGACCGGTCGTTAGGAAGCTTTACTACAGTCGGAGGTGTCCTCGGAATTTTCGGAATCGTGACATTTCGAAAAGAACTGCACCTTCATATCTTGCCGTCTTTCGTTCCCGAGATGCCTTCTTTACTCCCAACAATCGGATCCTGGATGATGTTGAGCTCGTCTGGAAGGTTTTGGCAAGGGTTTGGCGTTGCGGCGGTTGGTGGGGCTATGGCAACAATGGGGTCACTGACTCTTTTGTGGTTCAAAATAAATGAACATACGAGGCTCCACCACTACCCAGCCTACAGAGAGGCCCGTCCCGATGAAATTCTACGCCCTTTTGGTACAAGACCCTCTGTCAGTAAGAGGACCTCTACGACAAGTGTGCTTGACCGCAAGCTCTGGAAACCTTTCAAGCTTGTCCGCAAGACGCAAGTGGCCCCAAAAGTGTACCGGATTATTTTTGCTTTGCCCCGTTCCAACGACCCTCTTGGCCTGCCAACAGGCCAGCACATAGCACTCCAGGCAAAGATCAACGGGGAAAGCATTGCACGATCTTACACACCAGTGTCCAATAACAACGATCTGGGCCGCATTGAGCTGCTGGTGAAAGTCTACGAAGGCGGTCTGATGACGGAGCACCTTGAAAAAATGCAGATCGGTGACACCATCGATATTCGTGGCCCCAAGGGCACAATGGAGTACAACCAATCATACGCGCGGCATATTGGCATGATCGCTGGTGGCACTGGCATTGCACCCATGTACCAGCTGGTGCGCGCAATTTGCGAGGACACGTCAGACAAGACAAAGGTCAGCCTCATTTATGCCAACAATTCAGAGAGTGACATCCTCCTCTTTGAAGAACTTGAAGGCTTTGTGAAACAGTGTCCCGGCAAGTTTGACGTCCACTACGTGTTGACAAAGCCACCGGTAGACTGGAAGGGCAGCAAGGGATATGTGACGGCAAGCATGATTAGCAAGCATTTGCCGGCGCCTGCTGCAGATACGAAGATCCTACTTTGCGGTCCACCAATGATGGTTAACGCCATGAAGGCACACCTAGCGGAGATAGGGTTTGAGAAACCAAGCGTTATATCGAAAGCAACAGACCAGGTTTTTTTGTTTTAGCTTAGTCTATATATATATTACAAAACTTTTAGGAGGGTTTCAACCAGCATATAGTTCTTTAGCTTAGCTAGGATAGTTAGGGGTATAGCTTCTATTCTATGCACTACTAATCTATAATGCAAAGGTGCTGCCTTCGCGTAATACTAGCGTAAGACCCGTACAGTGTGACGGGCTATAGCCCAATGTACAAGGTAGATAGGGTATTATTCGCGCCCCTTGTCAGGTACCTTCCTGCGCGTAAAATGTTCGCCACTACCTAAATAGGCGTAAATAAACAAGCAAAAACATACTACTGCGAAAAAGGTACTTCTATTCTTTAATACTTAGTGTGCAGGCTATTTATATCTATTATAGCCTGCATCTTTACTAGCATTAGCTTTGATTTATAGCGCTAAAAGTCCTTTAGCAAAGCCTGCTAAGCCTTTTATACCTACTAGCGTAGCGTATTATAAGGCACCCTTTTATTGTTTATAATATAATATAAGGGTTAGCGTGTAATGCGTAATTACAAAGGCTTAACTGCTTATACTGTTATATTAAGACTTTAACTTAACGAACTATAAGAGACTAGTAGGCGAAGGCCTGCCAGCTAATATATACGTGGCTAGAAGATGCGGTATAGCGCAACCCTAGTAGGGCGTAGCACAGCTAAGTAGCTGTGCTAGTCCTGTGTAACGTGTTAAGATAGTTCGTTAAGTCTGTCGCTTAGTAAGCGACTAGTTGCCGAACCGGTGCGTAGGGACGCGTGTATAGAATACCCTTACACTATCCCCTTCGTCCCTAGGTAACGCCCTCGTTAGCCTAGAGGTGCATACGCGGCAGCTACTTACTTATTAAAAAACCTCCCTTTATAGAGTTAGGAAAAAGAATTAAGCGCTTTAGGTTATTAGCTATCGCCGAGCGGTCGCAGACCGCTTGCTTATACAACTACATTTAAGTAACGTAGAAGCGTACATGTACTGCTTAGTTTATAGCGGCAGTAAACGCTAGATCTTACCTAATGCATAGGTTGTCTTGTTTATTAAAGCTCTTTAAAAGGCGTGCAGCTTAACTCTTAGTTAAGGAACGCTTAAGTTGCCGCTAATAAGTGTTATAAGAGGGCTAGCCTTAGATACTAGGTGTATAGGGGTATAGTGTACGCTAACTAAAAACGGCGGCGTAAGGCTTATAACTTTTAACTACTAGCAGGGTAGGATAAAGGCAATAGCAGCTATTTATTACCTGCTAATTATAAAACTATTGCCTACTAGATAGTAAAGGCGGTTTACTGCTAAGACGTTCTTTTATTTAATTTTAGACGTTTTTTACCTTGCTATTAAAGTAAGGTTAGGTAAGTTTTTAAGATATATTTAGACGTTTAATAACGTAGCTTCTTTATTACCTTAAAGTATAAAAGAGTAAGTATATTCTATAATTTAAGATAAATTTATTTATACTTATAAGACTACTCTTACTTTTTTAGCCCTTTTTTCTTTAATCTTACTTATATAGTAAGTTAATATAATAGTTTATAACTTTATATAGTAGCTAACTAATAATTGCTTATAAACAATGTTTAATTAAAGCTACTTTTAAGTCTTAATAAACTTTTTTATAAAACGCTCTTTTTAAGTATATACACTATCTCTTAAAAGTATAAGTCTTTGCTAGTATAGCGTTTACTAAGTAATAGCTAACCTTATAGTAAGCTTTATATTTAAACTATATCTTTAAAGCTTATTTAAACGTTTACTATAAATTCTTATATATAGCTATGCTAAAGAACTTAGCGTGCTACGTTAGTTATATAGCTAATAATACATTATGCTTACTAGTAAGTACGTTAACTTATTATAAAAGGTTAGTATATAATGCATAGTTATAAAGGCTTAACTAGTTTATACTATTATATTAAAACTTTAACTTAATAAACTATAAAAGACTAGTAGGCAAAGGCTTACTAGCTAATATATACGTAGCTAAAAGATATAATATAGCATAACCCTAGTAAGGCGTAGTATAGCTAAGTAGCTATACTAGTCTTATATAACGTATTAAGATAGTTTATTAAGTTTATCGCTTAGTAAGCAACTAGTTGCTAAACTAGTGTATAAGGACGCGTATATAGAATACCTTTATACTATCCCTCTCCTTCTTAAGTAACGCCTCTATTAGCCTAAAGGTATATACGCGGCAGCCACTTACTTGTTAAAAAACCTCCCTTTATAAAGTTAGAAAAAAGAGTTAAGCGCTCTAGGTTATTAGCTATTGCTAAGCAGTTATAGACCGCTTGCTTATACAACTATATTTAAGTAATATAGAAGCGTATACATACTATATAGTTTATAGTAGTAGTAAACGCTAGATCTTACCTAATATATAAGTTATCTTGTTTGTTAAAGCTCTTTAAAAGGCGTACAGCTTAAATCCTAGTTAAGGAACACTTAAGTTGCTACTAATAAGTGTTATAAGAGGGCTAGCCTTAGATACTAGGTATATAAAGGTATAGTGTATACTAACTAAAAACGGCGGCGTAGGGCTTACGACTTTTAACTACTAGCAAGGCAGGACAAAGGTAATAGCAGCCGTTTATTGCCTACTAATTATAGAACTATTGCTTACTAGATAGTAAAGGCGGTTTGCCGCTAAGACGTTCTTTTATTTAATTTTAAACGTTTCTTACTTTGCTATTAAAGTAAAGTTAGGCAAGTTCTTAAGATATATTTAAACGTTTAATAACGCAGCTTCTTTGTTACCTTAAAGTATAAAAAAGTAGGTGCATTCTATAATTTAAAACAAATTTGTCTATACTTATAAGACTACTCTTACCTTTTTAGCCCTTTTTTCTTTAATCTTACTTGCATAGTAAAATAGTTTACAGCTTTATATAGCAGCTAGCTAACGATTACTTATAAATAATGTTTAACTAAATATAAGAGGCTAGTATACAATGCGTAGTTACAAAGGCTTAACTAGTTTATACTATTATATTAAGACTTTAACTTAACAAACTATAAGAGATTAGTAGGCAAAGGCTTGCTAACTAATATATACGTAGCTAGAAGATATAATATAGCGCAAACCTAGTAGGGCGTAGCGCAGCTAAGTAGCTATGCTAGTCTTATATAACGTGTTAAGATAGTTTGTTAAGTTTGCCGCTTAGTAAGCGACTAGTTGCTAAACCGGTGCGTAAGGACGCGTATATAGAATACCCTTACACTATCCCCCCCCTCTTTAAGTAACGCCTCTATTAGCCTAGAGGTATACACGTAGCAGCCACTTACTTATTAAAAAACCTCTTCTTATAAAGTTAGGAAAAAGAGTTAAGCGCTCTAGGTTATTAGCTATCGCCGAGCAGTTGCGGACCGCTTACTTGTACGACTACATTTAAATAACGTAGAAGCGCACATATACTACTTAGTTTATAGCGGCAGTAAACGCTAGATCCTACCTAATGCACAGGTTATCCTATTTGTTAAAGCTCTTTAAGAGGCGTGCAGCTTAAATCTTAGTAAAAAAACGCTTAGGTTGCTGCTAATAAGTGTTATAAGAGGGCTAGCCTTAGACACTAGGTGTATAGGGGTGTAGTGTACGCTAACTAAAAACGGCGGCGTAAGGCTTATAACTTCTAACTACTAGCAAGGTAGGATAAAGGCAATAGCAGCCGTTTGTCGCCTGCTAATTATAGAACTATTGCCTACTAGACAGCAAAGGCAGTCTGCCGCTAAAACGTCCTTTTGTCTAATTTTAGACGTTTCTTACTTTACTATTAAAGCAAGGTTAAGCAAGTTCTTAAGACGCATTTAAACGTTTAAGAATATAGCTTCTTTATTGCCTTAAGGTACTAAAGAGCGGGTGCATTCTATAATTTAAGACAAATTCGTCTATACTTATAAGACTACTCCTACCTCTTTAGCACTTTTTTCTTTAATCCTACTTACGTAGTAGGTTAATGCAACAGTTTGCAACTTTGCGCAGCAGCTAGCTAATAATCGCTTATAAACAATGTCTAACTAAAGCCGCTTTTAAGTCTTAATAGACTTTTTTATAGATGCAAACCCTACGAAACGCCCTTCCTAAGCATACGCACCGTCTCCTAAGAGCGGAGGTCTCTGCTAGCATAGCGTCTGCTAAGCAATAGCTAACCCTATAGTAGGCTTTGTATTTAAACTACGTCCTTAAAGCCTATCTAGACGTCTACTACAAATTCTTATATATAGCTACGCTAAAGAACCTAGCGCGCTACATCGGTTATATAGCTAATAACACGTCGTGCTTACTAGTAAGTACATTAACTTGTATGCGCTAGTAGCCGATTACTAACCAATAGCTCCCTAAAGAGATTAAGGGCTTAGCCTAATACATTTAGAAATTTCTGGCCAGCACGAACAAGTTGCTGCTTTAGCGGATAATAGTCAATAATATCGTCGCAGCGCCAAGCGATTGCACAGCAATCGCCTAAAAGTTAATAGCCTTAATAGCAGTAACTAAGGAACTTAGCCGCGCCTTATAAGAAGACAAGTTAGAGCTCTTAGCAACCGACTAGCGCTCTTAGCGCAAACGTTTTAAGACAGCACAATAGGCTGCATTGCGCCTTAGTATCCTCTACTAGTACTAGCAAGAGCTAGAGCTTACCCTAACGCCCGCGCAACGGTCGGCAAAGGTAGCCCGGCTTCTACCGCTAACGTCCCTAGACATAGGCACACTATCGCAAGCGTAAACCTAAGTTGCTACTACCCTTAAAGTAATAGCAAGTCCCTTAATCCCTATCGTCGAGTTATCGCTAACCTATTACCTAGGCTAATCCTCGTTCTATCGTGCTTAGCCTAGCCTAGCACGCTGCAGCTGTCTAAGCTAGCTATAGCAGCACGCTTTACTACACCGTAAGAGCGGAGAGGCCGCCTAAGCAGATCCTGCAAACCATAGCGGCCCTAGTTAAGCTAGCCTAGATTAACTAGGCAGTAGTCTTTCCCTAGCCGCTGCCTCTAGCGGCGCCCGGCAAGCAACGGTCCTACACCAAG